TTTAGTGGTATCACCTAAACTGTAAGGTTTGTTTGGTTTGGGTTTTTCTTTGTGTAGCCTTGGCTGTCCTAGAACTGTGTAGATCAGGCTGACCTCCAACACACAGAGATCCTCCTGCCTCTGCCTCCCAAGTGCTGGGATTAAAGACATAGGCCACTAGAACCCACCTTGTTTGTTTTTCGAGACAGGGTCTCTCTATGTAGTCCTGGCTGTCCTGGGGCTCTCTTTGTAGACCAGGCTGACCTAGAACTCACAGAGCTCCTCCTCCTTCTGCCTCCCAAGCCGACTGTAAGTTCTGAGTCTTTTCAGTTCAGCAGGTCCTTCATTGAGCTCTTTCCACTCAGCTTCAGCAGTGTCAGTCAGGAGATGACGGACAGTATGCTCCAGGCCTATGTTCCAGGGGAGCCCAAAGTGGCTCCCCCAGTAGGAACTGCCTCACAGAACCCTAGAGTTCTTCCTTCAGAGACTCCTAGAGCTCTCCTGGGGTCTCCAGCTCTAGAATGCAGATGCCCCATCCCAGCTGAGCTCTCAGAGCCTCCCCAGCACAGAAAACATCCAAAGCTGCTCCCGGGAGCATGGTCTAAGCCAGGCTGCCTGAGTGGCCCGTGATCCTGTGGCTTCGCTTCCATCCCAAACCTGGCTCAACGGCTCTGTGATTCAGCCGTACACCTCAGATTTCTCCTTCCTGGTTGTCCCTGAAGCAGCCCCGCAGGTCCTTCATTCCGAGGTCACTGGAGGGTTCAGAAGGAACCAGATAAGATGTGTGTGTGCATGTGTGGACGTATTTGGGTGCACATGTGACACGGCGCACGTGTGGAGGTCAGAGGACAATTCGAGGGAACAGTTCTCTCATCCCACGATGTGGGTCCCAAGAATCAAACGCAGGTTGTCAGCTGTCTCTCCAGGGCCCCGCAGTGCAATAGTAGCTCTTGTCTAGCCATGGAGATTCTTTCCTGTCCTATAACAATTGAGCTGGTTTTCTTTCCCATCACTGTGAGCTTTCTGTTGTGGGATAATCTTTTTGTACACTGTGAAGATGTGTCTTTGCCAAGGCACCTTCAGACTGGCTTAATAAAGAGCTGAGTGGCCAATAGCTAGGCAGGAAGAGGATAATCGGGATTTCTAGGCACCTTCCGTGGGTATCAGCTGCCTCCTAACTGCATACCACCAGAGAAGGTGACACTGGCAATTTCATGATCCGAAGGCACAAAATTATGGGATGAGGAAATCCTTCTGGGTGTCATCTAATCGGACAATCAGTCTCCCACTCTGTAATTTTACATGTATGTGTTCAGAGTTCCTTGGGAGATGATAGTCCCCCTTCTTAGAAGAGAAGTACCACATATGACCACCAGAGGGCGCACGGCACCATTCCATTCTCAGTTTACCAGAGCCCTTGGGAGCTCCTTTAGCTGCAGAAACCTGCAGGTGGTGTTCCAGAAGTTCAAAAAGTAGGCTAAGTATGTCTATCCCAATGACCTGCTCCCTTTGTATAGTATAAAGACAAGATGTGAAGTCAGGGGAAGTGGGCAGGTGGCAAGGGAATGGGTAGGTCCAGATGCCCCGATGTAAACTGTATGTAAACTGCTTTTAGATACCCACCTGCCGAATATGCTCCAGCCTGGTCAGCCGCACGATCTTCTCCCGTGCCACCCGGGGTTTGTTTGTCCCCATGCTTTCCTCTTCTGGAGCTACTATGCATGCCTGAAGGCCTAGACTAAATGGTACTACTTGGATCCGTTCGGTTCTGTAACCTGCACTTTTTTTTTTTTTGGTAGACCAGGCCGGCCTCACAAGAGATCTGCCTGCCTCTGCCTCCCGAGTGCTGGGATTAAAAGCATGCGCCCAGCTGTAACCTGCACGTCTACGGCACAAGCACTCATCGTTTTGGTTAGCCATGGCTTGTGACCCTAATGTCTTTGCAATCATGAGCTCCATCCACAACCTGCTGGGCTTGGAGTCTTCCCTGCAGTGTAGAGTTGGCACCAAGTGAAGACAGACTTCATGAGTGTAACAACATGTCTTCACCTTCACCAGTATAACATGTCGTCACCTTCACAGAACCCTAAAGGGCATTCTCTCTAGTTATTGATCTTGTTTCATTTTTGTAGAGCTGAGGGTTGAACCCAGCATCTCAATATGTTACACCTCTACCACATCTCTGGGCTATGTCCCCAGCCCTAGGGACTCCCTATGATAGGCATTGCGACTTGATTCTTTAATCCTTGTCCTGTGCAGCACCAGGCCTGAGAAAGTAAGCCCTCGAGGTTCACATATTAAAATCATGGCCTTTTGTGTATCCCGGAGTCTAGGGCAGAAGGGCAGGCTCCTCGAGGGCAGAAGGGCAGGCTCCTCGAGGCCTGCCTGGGTTCGCAAGGAGTTCAAAGTTTAGCAATAAATTTAGTGACACCCTGTCTCAGACTAGAAATGGAAAAGAAAGCTGGAGCTGGGTGGTGGAATATTGCCTGGCATGGGCAGTGCCCTGGGTTCACACTCCAGAACTAAAAACATAAAAGCAGGAAGTTTGGGAGACTTTTGGGCAGCTTGAAATTCCGCGAGTCTGCCCTCAGTTTCCTCACACTGAAGACAAGGAGGCTCTGCAGGGAGGGCTCTGCAGGAGCGGAGGACCCAGACCCTGCTCCAGCACCCACATCCGGTTGCTCACAACTTCAGCACTGGGGAAGCCAACCCCTCTTCTGGTCTCCAGGGGCAGCTGCACACGTGCAGCAATGTTCACATAGACGGACACTGCTGCCACATGCTTAGAAATGAGTCCTGACTTGATTTTAAAACCTGTGGTAAAGTGATGGATTTGTTAGGCAGCTTGCGTGTGGCTACCTCTTCACAAAGCACAGGCTTATCAAGTCGCACAGTACCTTGTGTTTCTGTTTGTTTGTTTGCTGTTGTTGTTTTGAGACAGGGTTTCCCTATGTAACAGTCCTGGCCATCCTGGAACTCGCTCTGTAGACCAGGCTGGCCTCAAACTCACTGAGATCCCCCTCCCTCGGCCTCCCGAGTGGTGGGATTAAAGGCGTGCACCAGCACCACCCAGCTACATGTGTATCTCAAACATACGAAATTTTTATTTATCCAAAAGTCAAGATGGAGGTGGGTCAGAAGAAAGACCTCATAGCAGAACCTCTAGAGCAACTTAATGTTTATCTGTTGAAAACTTGTCTTTACAAACAAGAGGACTCAGTTGGCAGGGAGGGATTTGCATGGAAGTTATTGACAAATTGGATCCAGAATTTTGGTCTTCTGCCTCCTAGGGTTTGAACTTGATTCAAGTTGTTGAATACAGTATGTCCATAGAGTTTGCAATGCCACAACTGGATTGGGGACCTCAAAGAATGCAAAAACAGCGGATGAACAGAGCACAAAGCAAGGATCATAGCTTTGCTAGCCTGGCCTAAGCCATACCTACAGGAGCACGGACTCACTTCTCAGGAGGTGACTTTAAATTTGTTTTTAAGCCGGTTGGTGGTGGCGGCGGCACAGCCTTTAACCCCAGCTCTCAGGAGGCAGAGGCAGGAGGATCTCTGTGAGTTCGAGGCCAACCTGGTCTACAAGAGCTAGTTCCAGGACAGGCTCCAAAGCTACAGAGATAACACTGTCTTGGAAAGCCAAAAAATAAAAATAAAAAAATTTTTAATTGCTTTTTTTTAAAAAAAAAAAAAGATAGGATTTTTGTTTGTTGTTGTTGTTTTTGTTTGTTTGGAGACACAGCATTTTTCTCACTACAGTGCCCCTGCTGACCTTGAACTGGTGGCAATCCTCGTACCTCTGCCTCCCCAGTACTGGGATGGCAAGCACGCACCGCCATACCTATGTTGGAGCAATTTTTGAGCGACTAAATTTCAGAGGAGTCTATGGGGACCAGCACAAGGTTCACAGTGGGCAGTCTGAGCTGAAAGTCACCTCCTGGCAAGTAAACCTCAGCCCTGGCGTGACCTTCACGAGCTTCAGGATTCTAAGAATTGAAGGAAATCATCCAATTAAGTGAAGATCTTTTGAGATAAGGCGTGTGAAACACTGAAGAATTAGCCCGCAACAGCGCTCAACAATGGCTTCTAGCAAAGCAACAATGTCGGCCCAGAAGGCCTGGGAGAGCTGTCTAGATGCACTTTCCTCCCCATTCCAATCCCTTGATGCCACGCTAAGATTTTGAAATTGGCCATGGTCGGTTTTTTTTTTTTTTTAACCGTAAACACTAGCAAATACTATACACCAGGGATCTCCTAGAAAGGTGGGGGAACCTTTGCCAGTCACTTTGCTGGCCATCATTGTTGCGGGGTGCCAGGGCAGCCCCTCCCTTGGAGGGTGATCTCAAGCATATCTGTATCATCCTGATGTGACTGCCCATGGTGAGATCTTACTTCTGCAGAGTGGTTTCTCGTTTCCACACCCCAGGCTTCCATTTTCAGAGTCTGTGAGCATCCCTGGGAATTCTTTCTCACAGCACGGCAGGGAATGACTTAGCTCAATCCCAAGGGTCCACTGCCTGGGTGTGGTGGCATGCACCTGTGACCCCAGTACCAGGAGGACGGAGGTGGGAAGACCACACACTCAAGGCCAGCCTCAGCTATGCTCTCTCAGAAACTGGCAGCCTTTTCCTTGCCTCCTCTGAGCAGAAGCTGAACCAGGAGCTCTAGGGCTTCGAGAGTCACTCTTGTGGGATGGTGTATCTGCCACTTGTCTCCCATCATGCCTCTCTGGGTGGACTCAGGGACCCATCTCTCTTCTTGAGCCCCACACAACTGCGCCTAAGAATGTCCAAGGGAGACTTCCCCTACGGGAACCCCTCACTCACTCCCACTGGAGCCTGACCCATCCTGGAACGCCCTTCCACCCCATGACGAGACTTTGTGGGTCTCTGCCAGAGCCACGACAAGCCCTGAGAAGATTCTAGCTTCAAGAAAACCTGGGGTAGTCAGCTTCCCTGGAACGGGGATGACAGCCATGGGCTGACCAGAAAGAGGAAGTATGGTCAGGCTGGTGCCTGTTGCCTTTCAGGGTGAGTGAGGGTACGTGGGCGAGCAAGGCCTCACCCCAGCTGTGCTTGAGCACAGCCCTCAGTCCACTGCTGTCGCCCCAGGGACTTGCATCGAACACCCCGGCAGTCCAGGTAAGAGCTTCGTCTTTCCTAAGGACAGCATCTTATTTTTTTCCACTGTAGTTATCCGTCCATGTTGGTGTTAGACATGTGGCCAAACGAGCAATCTCTCAGGCAAGGGCTGAGGGGCTGTCGCCTGAGACTGTGGTACACTGTCAGGGGCAACTGGAGGAACAAGGAAGGGCCTGAAGAGTCTGCTGTGCCATTGCTGCTGGGTGATCTCAGCCATCTCTTTACCTCTCCAGTGTGTGTGCCAGGGATGATAAAGTTCATCTCTCAGGCTGATTAGCAGTTGGGAGTGAGATGTGTAAAGTGTAAGGCTTTACCTCTGTCTGGGTAGTGATGGTGACATTTGGTATTCAGTAGTTAGAGGACTTCACGGCTCTGTGCTGGGGAGAGCAAAATGCTAACTTCATAAACTCAGGCTGCATCTTGGTGCAGTCGGATGAAAGAAATGACCGCCACAGCTCTTGGTACCTTTGTCTCTCAGTTTCTGGTGTTTGGGATTTGCAAGGCACCTCCCTCCCTCCAGAGGCCTTGGGTGTTAGTTAGGCTAGTAGGAGATCTTGATTGAGCCATCGGCTTTTGGTCTCTGGAAAATTAATCTTTTGGTTTTTGGTTTTTCGAGATAGGGTTTCTCTCTATAATAGCCCTGGCTGTCCTGGAACTTGCTTTGTAGATAAGGCTGGCTTGGAACTCATAGACATCCTCCTGCCTCTGCTTCCCGAGTGCTGGGATTAAAAACATGTGCTTCCACGCCTGGCCTGGAAAATTAATTTTGATGGAAACCTGGGTTTAGCATTCCCATGTCCTATTCCATTGCCTAGGTCGTTGGGTTCTCTTACCTCTCTTTAATCGGACTGTGACTTTGTTTATTTGTTTATTATTTATTTGGTTTTTGGAGACAGGGTTTCCCTGTGTAGCCTTGGCTGTCCTGGAACTCGCTCTGCAGACCATAATGGCCTCAAAATCACAGAGATCCACCTGCCTCTGCCTCCCGAGTGCACCACCACTGCCCAGCAAAAGGATTTATTTTTTAATGATGTGTGTGTGTGTGTGTGTGTGTGTGTATGCGTGCTTGTGCGCATCTGAGGAGGTCAAAGGCATCCAAGCCTGTGGAACTGGATTTCCAGGTCCCTGGGATGGGTACCTGGAATCAAGCTCAGGTCCTTAGAAAGAGTAACATACACTCTTAATCACTGAGCCATCTCTCCATCTCTCCACCCACTTGCTCTTAGGCCTCATCCTTCCTTGACTTACTACCCTGGTAAGCTTGTCCAGGATAAACTGGAGGCTGTGTATATGTATGTGTCTGAAGGAGCATTAAAAGTGGCCTTGCTGCCAGGTGCACTGGTCACAGGCCCGTACCAGAAAGCTGGAGAGGAAGAACACTGAACCCAGAAGCTCCAGTGCAGCCTGATAAGACAGTGAGTCCTCTATCTCTGAAAGAAAAAGGAGGCTGGAGAGATGACTCAGATATTAAGATCCCTGACACTGGAGTTACAAACAGTTGTGAGGCACCACATGGTACTGGGAATTGAATCTGGGAATCTTCTGAAAGAGCAGCTAGTGCTCTTAACCACGGAGTCATCTCTCCAGCCCCCCAAAGTCATGCTTTATCCATGTGGGAGTATCAGTTCCCTCAGAAGTTTGTTAGAGCAGAGTTCTGGTTCTTCCTCTCCCTTCCCCCTTCTTCCTTCCTTCACCTCCCTTCTCTTTACATCTCCCTTTTTCCCTCCCTTTTTTTCTCCATTTCTTCCCTCACCTTCCCTTTTTCCTGACAAATAGATACATCCCCTAACTGTTTGCAGACAATTTTCTAGGCAAGCAATAAGCTATTGATGGCTGAGCATGTATGAACAGAGTTCAATCTTATGAGAAAATAAATCAGATTCAAGATTAATGTGCAGCTGTCCTGGTTTGATAAGTTATCAGCTTGACAACTTGCCAGTCCAGTACTGTCCCCATACACTGTGCTAACACACGCAGGCATCACAGCTAGCTCCTAACAGGTTTAATTAACAAAGATGCTGGCCATTCATTATGCAGAAGTACCTCACCTTGTCAGCTCTACAGGATTTGCGTTCTGACCCGGCATCCTTTTTAATGGAACACTAACCACGATGTCATCGTTAGACAGTGGGGTAAACCAGTGCAGAATACAGACTAGGGATACGATCACGGTGCCTTCCCCTACTTCACTGCAGAATAGAAACTTCCTCATGGGGTTTTCTATGAAAACATTTTATAGCCAGGTTATTAATCCCAGTACTTGAGAGGCAGAAGCAGGTGGATCTCTGTGAGTTCAAGACCAGCCTCTTCTGCATAATGAGGTTCTAGAACATCCAGGGATCCATAGAGAGCCCCTGTCTCAACCCCTGCACAAAAAGAGTCATTTTAGAATTCTGTATATAAAACAATGTCGGTTCATTCACTTACCAGGAACTTGATCAACCCATTTACTTCAGTAAAATATTGCATGTTATTTAAAGAGGGGTGGAGCTAGGGATGTAGCTTATGCCTCTGGAAGCCTAGGGTTAATTCTCAGCACTAAACAAGCAAACAAAAGAAAACCTCACAGAGATTCACAAAGGAAATATCTACCAAGCAGCACAAAACAAATACATAGATATGTAAATATGCTTTACATATGTAGATATCTTCTTTAGCAACAGGTTTAATGGACATAATGTATTTTTTTTCTTTTCTTTTCTTTTCTTTTTTTTTTTTTGGTTTTTCGAGACAGGGTTTCTCTGTAGTTACGGAGCCTGTCCTGAAACTAGCTCTTGTAGACCAGGCTGGCCTCGAACTCACAAAGATCCACCTGTCTCTGCCTCCTGAGTGCTGGGATTAAAGGCGTGCACCACCACCACCCGGCTGACATAATGTATTTTTAAACAACAATATATGAATATCAAGTTAATGAAAAATTATTGGCCCACATACAGTATTAACATGTGTGTGCATTATAGATGCCCCCATAATAAATTTAACTGGTGAAGAAGCTAAATCAGTCATAATACATAATTACAAATCACCAGAAATCCTTTGCTTGCCATCCACATCCCCCCCTGAAGTCCTCCACAGCCTGCAGGCCCTCCTTTACCCCAGGCCGTTGCTATAATAAGCTCGATGTAAGGCTCAGTCACCTTAATCTTCACATCTCATGCCCTATGCATATTAGACTCAAAATAATTGTTTTTAGATTAAAAAACATCAAACGAGATGTGGTGGCACTGGAGAGGTGGAGGCAGATGAATCTCTGTGAGTTTGAGGCCAGTCTGGCTTATATAGAGACTTCCAGAACAGCCAGTGTTACACTGAGAAACCCTGTGTCAAACAAAACCAAACAAAGCTCAGGCGGCATAGCCATGACTGCTCTTTCCTCTAACTGGAAAACCCCACACTTCCAAGAGCAGGGTGTGGGCCTTCCAAGAGCCGCAGTGCCCAGCGTTCTAGTGGAAAATTATTTGGCATCCTCAGCAAACTCTAGGAGCCTGGTATTTTAGTTCAAAAACATCACCTTGTAGTAGCTATGAATAATTTAAGAAGTTATTGGTGAATGACTCTTCACATCAAAGTGGGAGTCATACATCATATTCCATCTGACAGGAGAACTGAAGACTGACTCCAAAAAAATGGGATGCTCAGGACCCATCTGTAGTACCCTGAGGCCCTCCCTCTCAGAGTCAGGCAGTGGACGGACTGGAGGGAAGGACTGGAGGAAGCGATGTGTCTGCGCCAGTACCCCCTGCCTCTGTCTCCATGTCCCTCCTTCCAGCCATCAGAATAAAAGGATTTCCAAGTTTGGGTGTGGAGAGTTGACACTGCCTCCATTCTACTTCCGTTTGACTCTAAGCTGTGAATTATGCTTCTACGGGAAGTGCTTCCATTTTTATTGATTTTTGCATAATATCTAAATAAAAAACACAATGCTTGGTATGCAAATGCAGACTCAAGATAGGCAGCTGGCTCTTGTCCCTAGGGAGTTCCTGTATGTGAGCCACGGGGGCTGTCACCGCTTGGAGGCAGGGGGTACTGGCACAGACAGCACTCCAGAGCGTCACTGCTTTAAGCCCACAGAGTGAGTCCCAAGGCCAGTGAGAATGCAAGGACTCCGGAAGTGCAGGTGCCTTGCAGGGCAAAGGCTCAACAGGACCCAGGAAGTATGGGGGTTGCCAAGGCCATCGTGGTAGGCCGGTGCCCACTGGGGTGGATTTGGCCATGCTCGCTCACCTTGGGAGCTCGTATTCCACTCTGCTTAAGTGGTAAGGAGCTACAGAAAGACAACAAAGGGTTGTATTTACATATGGCAGCCAACAGTGGCCAAAAGGTGAGAGGGGACAGCGAAGTGACCGACTGCCCAGGTGACTGGAACCTGGGTTGATGCTCTGGAGTAGAGGGGCAAGATGAGAGATGTGAAGACCAGGGAAGGAGGAGAGATATGGAGGCTGAGGGGAGTAGGAAGATGGGGGCTGAGCTTGCCTGCCTCCCACAGAAATGGAAGGCTACAGAATGAGCAGAGACCCAGGACTCTTTTTATAGCCCTGTCCTGTCCACACACAGTTTTAAGTTGCCATTATGTATCCACACGGCCACTTCCAGGATACACGTCATCAAGGTGGCCAGGTGGTAAGACAGACTCCTGACCATCATCAGCGACACACTGGCAACTAGACCGGAACCAGGCAGGAGCTGCTCATGCTGGCAGGCTTGGCTATGCCTTTTGAAATCAGCTCCAACCCTTCCCATACCCTGCCTGCTTCGGAGCCTTCCAAGCCTGGCTAGCAAGTGTAGGGAGCCACTTAGAAGGCACCCCTTTCTTCCTAGTAACGGCTTCTGTGGGGGACACTGGGCTGACTACCCACATATGAACCGAGGCCTCTTCCTGGTTCCCACACCACCGAAACACATATGCTCGAGGAAGCATGGGTGGATGCGGAGAGCTCATCAAGGACTGGGTGGGTGACCGCCAGAGGGATGCACCACCAGAGGGGTGTACCACGCATCTG